TCACACGACCTCCTCCATGCCACCCTTGCATTGACGACCCACTCGTCGCTTCCTATTTGGATTCCACTGGAGCGATGCCTGCCCAAAGTTTGCCCAATCCATTGATTTTTTCTCCTGCATATTTGTTGAGCAGTCGGCTCTTGGTTAGTTTGTTCCCAGAGTTTCTTGTTGCCTATTCTTTCTTGCCAATCGATCTTCAGAATGGCGCTAGTGAAGGCAGCTGTTGATGGAAGTCTGCAACTCGTTGGAAATCCTTTTCGTCACCCATTAAGAAGAGTCAACTTAACATTGGTGTTTTCATCATAATTATTCATTCATTGTATAAGCGTAATTTAAACTAAGACAAATTTCGCCTATCAAGTAGTCAGATACTGTTTTTAACAGCAACAAGTGTACTGACTATACTATCACCTCATAATTTATCAAATAGAAAATATTGATTCTAAGCTTATCACTAATCATAAAATCGTCAAAGAGAATAACATTGTTTGTGTCAATAGTTTTCACACCAATGCATTCCAGAGTAATATTTTAATGAATAACCTACCTCCGATCCTCTCTGTAGCACCACTCTGTGCCTGAAATCCAATTTAAACTGTTTTTAGTAGAATATAATAAAATATCTTACTTCAAGTCTAACATAGATTAGCTTTTTTTGCATCAAGCTGTATACTACTGATTAACTGAGCTAAGTTCTCGTATACTACTCATACCAAATAATAGTAGTCACTAGCCAGCCAAATCGAAGTGATCGAAGCACGGGACCACCGTTTTGATTGTTTGCTGCCAGGCTCATTATCCATGTACTCGGTTTGAGTTAGTTGTGGAGAGGCGAATCATTTGAGACCAACCGATTTCATTCGCCATAATGGTTTTCCATATGCCATACATGGAATTCGGATGCAAGAAGTGAAACCTTCTGGAAATGCGGATAATTTCGCGTGCTGATGTTATTATTATATTATTATTGTTTCGTTTAATTCCTAGAGAAACACAGGGTCTCAGTTGGACGTCTTTATTGCCTTCGGTTCTCTGCCAACGTTTCCACCTTGCTCCACGTCTGCACACATGTTTTCATCTCCTCTTCACATGACCTCCTCCAAGTCACGTTCGCATTGACAACCAACTCGCCGCTTCTCGTTCGGTTTTCACGAGAGGGCCTGTCTAGTAATGTCACTTGATGGTTTGTTTTCTCAGAGTATAGCCAATCCACCTCCACTACTTCCAGCATATTTGTGGCACAGTTGCTTCCTGCTGGGTTAGTTTGCTCATTGCCAGAGATCCCTGTTGCTAATCTTCTCTGGCCACGGATCTGGTCTTGAGTAGTATTGAGCGAAGACAGCTGTTGATGAAAGTCTGTAGTTTGTTCGAGGTGCTCTTCGTGACGCATCAGGTCTCTCATCCATAAAATAGCACTGACTTCACGTTGAAGTTGAAAATCCGGATCTTATTTTCATTTTCATGCTGAGTGCTGCTGACTTCCACACAGACTTGAGAGTAATGATAGCCTGCCTACCTTGCTTTCCTGATCCTCGCTGCATTGATATCCTCATCAGTTCCGTCCGCCTGTGGTTGAAACGTTAGTAGGTAGGGGAAGGAGGTTGCTTCTTTCAGATTTCTCCCTCTTATGCTGATTGTTGTCTGTTGTTGTTGCTGTTGCCATTGCTGTTGGCCAGGAATCTTCATCACCACCTCTGTGTTTTCTGTTTTCATCTGATATAGTCCACAAATATAGTTCCTGCAAGAATATTCATATGCAGTTGAACAGTTTTACTATTATTTTGAGAAGAGAGTAAGTAAAGCGACTTGAGTGATTTGTAAGCCGTAAAGTTCTCATTTTCACAATCTTTACAGTTGCCTAATTGATCCTGAAACGTATTTTGCTCACTGATAATAATAATAATTTATATTTTCATATAAACATAAATTTACATGAAAATGCATGCCATTTTTGAAGGCACGATCAAGTATGATATAAAGACAAATAGTAGATTGTCTACAAGTTAATAATGTTTGAACAGCTAAATATTTGATATATATGTGTAAGTACACTGATTGTCTGACCCATGTCGTATCATTATTGGTAACTACTCAATGTACATAAAACTCGGAATTTATGCATTATTTCTGTCGCAAAGTAGCATCAGTTATTCTCAGATTACTAGATTCTTTAGGTGACTTCTTTCTTAGAAGCACTCATGGCGTAATTGCCCAGTTTTATTCTCTTGCACTGAAGCCATTGTATCTAGCAGTTAATAATACCCTGGAATTTGAACTGATATGTGGTAAATTTATACATTTTGTATTACATATATATATACCAATACGCAGAAGAGTTTGGAAGAAATTTGATAATCGCATGCATTCCCCAGGATTCATTTTCTTTACTCAGGCGATTCAGTCAATTCATTATTCTCAGACTGCCTCTGATTTCAGCTGATTATATAAGGCCTGTTTCTGTTTAATTTAAAATTTTACAAGTAATGATTATGATTTATCTAGTTAAAATCCGACTGTGATAAGAATATATATCAAATATTTTCTCACATGGAAGCAAATCTTCATTTTCTGAAATTTAATAAAAGAATTCAACCAAAATTTATGTTTTAGTAAGGTAGTATACTATAATCAACACACAATTTGTAAACAGCATTATATTATAGACTTGAGGTGAGAGGAATCAGATTAAAATAGTAGTCGTCTTATGACTCATCGTGTGACTCATCCTATGATTATCTAATCATAGAATTTCACTGCCTTTTTCTCACATCGGTCTTGGTCAGATCACCAACGAATGAGAATAATTTTCTTTGACCTAGCTGAGTTGCCTACCAATCAGAAAAATCTATTTCTAACTGCCTTGGGCTGACTTTAATGTGTTTCAAAAGCATTTAAATATGACGGGTTTTTCCTAATGAAGACCCTATCCCAACAATCACAGGCCAGTCTTTGTCTTCTGATATTGATGTGCCTCAGTGAAGTGGTAGGTACCATGGATGAATTGGTATATCTATCATATCAGTTGAGATGTCCATTGCTTCAGTATTAGTATACCTAAACATCAGTCCACTCGGTAATATGAACTGTCAATGAAATCATATCATCATGAGCTGACATCGGTTAGATAACCATAAGAAAACCTGTCAGGGAGAACTAGATATCTGTCTCGGCAACCTATTTTGAGACTCAAACATTACGCACCCACCACCGGGGTTCTAACTTAGGACCTTCTGGCTACAAGGCGAGCTCATGAACCATCAAACCACTGGGAACCGATTCATTGGCCAGTCTATGAATTCCAACTTCTCTCAATTCATAATAAAGCGAGACCACTAACTTATGTCTTCAGTGAGTAGTTTTGCTCACACCCGACCTGCTGAACCCTACTGGAAAGAATTTCTTTCCTTTCCACGGAATAAGAAACAGGATCTGAATTTGCATCACTGATATCAAATCACGCTTCTGTTTGGTTCACAGACGTGACACGTGTGTCATTAAAATCATCGCCAACAGGTTGTGCACTTTCTGTAGCATCTGCTTCTTTCGCTCATTACTGAAGACCAGATGGCGGCCAGAAAAAGCTCTGGAAACAAACTAATCAACATGTTACCGCCTAACAAAACAGTGCAAAGACCGTTGAGCGACATGTCCACAGCTGAAACTGATTGGAAAGTGTCGATTTAGGCTTCCTAGAATGATACGGTGGACCATGTGTGGCGAGAAAATAAAAAGCTCATGGGCAATGCTGGATCCAGTCGTAAGCGTTGATACAGAAGTGAATGCAGTCTATATGTCATGGAAAAGGTTCTTTTTGGCGATTTATTCTTAAAAGATGTTGAATCACAGTTTGCATGCATAGGTTAGCACATATATACTTTCTCGGTATTCCTTTACGTCCCCAGTGAAACATAGGCTTTCATGCTACAGCAGTGGTGTTTATTCTTACGGGATGGGGTTGCTAGCCTCATGCCCAACCTTCCCCCTTTACCGATCAAATTGCGGACTTAGTGAGTTAAAGGAGTGCATAAGCGGCGAATCGAACCCCAAAACACATGCTTGACTGGTGAACACTCGACCTCTATGCCACAGACGCTAGCATGTAAGCAGCCAATATTAAATGTGATATGACAGCGAAAGGTAGGCTTCAAGCGGCAGCTATTACCGTAACTGCGCTCCAGAGTTTTCTGTTCAAAAGAAGGTGATTTCACCTCCGCATCTAAAACGGTCCTTGTCTTCTAAGACTCAGTTTTACTTAACATATTTCATTCCCGCCACATATATATGTTTTCATCTTCAGTCATAAAACAGCACTTCAGTCGGTTTTCATGCACATCCTGACCACATCTATCTTTGGGATAGACACTGTATTTTGAATTTTACTCAGCTATCACCTTAGTCCTGCATTGTTGTAGTTTCTATGCTCCTTTCGATTTGTATTCATCGCATATTACACCGGTGAAATTTGATATCAAGTTGAAAGTTAGTATCTCCTTTGAAACTCACCTTTGTCGGATGGAGTAATAATTGAGACTATGCTAAGTTACATTTAAAAATTATGACTGGCCTCCTAGTCTTTGAGAAAGGAATTGCTGAGAAATCGATGTTACATCATCCTGACTGAAATAACTGAGTCTCTGTGTGAAACATTCTTGGCCTACTGACAAAATTGTCCAGTGGAATTTGACCTCTTACATTACTCTCAAAAAAACATGCATAATACTATATACTACTTGTTCACTGAAATAAGTAGTCATATACTGCTCACGTCAAACAGGAGTGCTCTGTAGCCAGCCAGATAGAAGTGATCTATACGCCGAACTGGGTTTTCGCCAGTTTGGAACTGAGTTTGTCGCCAGTGTAGCCAGTTTGACTCAGGCCAGACAAACAAATCAGATTACCCATTCTGTTCAGGTATCAAAAATGAAGTGATAGAAGCTCGAAAAATGTGATTTTCAAGGGTGTTTTAATGTCAGCATACGACTTACCACAATCTCTACCATCTGTACCAGATCGTTCAGCTGAAAATATTTTAAAGCGTATTAAAAACTTATATAATCATGCGTCCACACTGAATAACAATAATAATGATAGTGACAGGTTTATTCTGAACGAAGTTAATATAATATACAGAATTTTCAGCGGAGTTTGTTGCATGATATTTTCTCTTTGTCCAGAATATTGAAATGGGAGATTAATTGATAGTAGAATAACAATAAGAACGATATATTCCAGTGATACAATCAACAGAGAACTACAGCGACTCAGACAATTTCTCATAGAGAATGGGTATTCCCCAACAAATATCGAGAAAAACGTGAAGTGAAAGCAAAAGCTTGAAAAAACCCAGACTGTGGTGCCGAAGAAACTGCTATATATGAGCGTTGAATTCAAAGGTGAGTTCGCACCTGAGATCCTGAAGAATTACTTATGCAGATTACTGAGGAAAGCCTTCTTTACAGATGAGCTACTGTTCCGTTTCTACAGCTAACAAATGATCAATGGATGTGTGAAGGATAAACTGCCACTTTGGACTGGCCACTTCAATGTGTGTTTATAAATTCACTTGCACCTTTGGATCACGGTATATTGGACGCACAAAGCACACACTTTTCAAACACATTTCCGAATATTATCCGGCATGGTTAGCAGAAGGCCAATGCAAGACAGTTACTAGCTCAATTCTCTAGCACTTGGTGAGTTCAAGCCACGCAGCTCCACCACAGTCGTCTTTCAAAATTATCTACAAGATTAGGCCAAGTTTTACAAAGGGAGTCAGGTTTTGGCTTTTTTGTATGGTGCAGGTGCTCGCAATTCACCAATACAACCCTGAACTCTGTATACAGAAAACTTTTGTGCAGTCTCTTATTCTACCATGGTCTTATCCTCTTTACTGGTCGTTCCCTATAAACAATGTTATTTTTAATTTTAATTTTTACTTTTAGTTTGCTTTTACCATGGTAATTAATTCACTATTATCACTCTCATATGTTCCTTCTATACATTTCACGCCCTCTTCTCACTTGTCAAATTGACACTCACTCAATAGCAATTTTTTTAATCTTACCAAATTTCTATCTTTGTGCCACTGAATACCATGTATTTACGACTTTTAATTTTCATTTTGAAGCCACTTCTGAGTAATTATATCAATTATGTCAGCCCTTATTACTCAATAATAGACTACTGTACGTGATTTTGGTAAATATAAATACAAATGTACAGCCTCTGAAGGAGATTTCGTCAAGAAAGAAACTTTTCATCGCTGAATTTGTCTTTTATTTTCTTTATGACAGTAGACTGTCCAACACAGTTCTATCTCACCTGAAGCAGAAACCACTCCACCATTATGATATTTCTTCTACCTCTACTTAGAGAAATACATGACGACTTTTTGTTGAATGTCAGTTATAAAGCGTTCAGGGGTACATTTTGTGAACCAAGAGCACTACTCAGGAGCGGTCATCTCATGTGCTGCTTCTATAGGTTACCATGGAGCATCATGCTTTTACTCATGTTTAGTAGAAATTTACGAAACCGAAGGTTGTGAATGTTTTAAATATCCGCCAGAGTAAACAGTAATATTTTACTAGATTCAAACAAAATGAATAAGAAATCTATATGCACTGTATTTATGGAGGTTTCCTGTAGCGCAGGTTTTAAGCAGGTCACCCACGTTAAGTCTACTGATGTATTACTGACAAGACTATAAGAATTAAACTGAAATACTTCAAACGTATGTTTAACTTAGTTCATGATATTTGAGCATAATAACATAGGAGAGTTTCAAAATGCATTTATATACATATACTGACTCTAGCGAGTGAAACTTCTGACACTTACTACAGGGAAATTTAGGTTGATCTGAAATTATTTGGAAAAGTGCATTCGTGTAAATAAAGTATAACACAATAGTGAAAAATCTGCAGAACTATTTCCGGGTTGTAGGTCAAATTAATGAGATAACGATTAGGGATTAAAATCGATTCATAACAGAATAAACAGAAAGATCGGATCAAAAACATGGTTCCTAATTATTGAGATAATCGTCTTTTTGTGCAATTAGGAATTCAAAACGTAGTGGTAACAAAATAGACAAAAATTCAGATGAAATAAACAAACATTGTAATGACAATGAAGATTAGAAAGACGTCATAATAACAGCAGTAAACAAGAAACTTGATAGGATAATCACCATCAACAGAAAAGACTGTTTATCGTGATTTCGCAGAAGTTAGAATTCACGGGCCAATGGATCGGGTCCCAGTGGCTTAATGGTCACCTTGTAACCAGAAGATCCTGGGATCGAACCCCGGTGGGTGCGTGCTGATGAAGAGTCCCTAGCTAAGATAAAACAGCTGTCCCAGGTTTTCCAATGGTTCTCTAACTGATGAAATCCTGTAACTAAAAGACTGTTTATGATTGCCATAGCAACGATAGAGGTTGCATATATTTCTGCATAGCATAGACTTGAACGTTTGGATCGCTAGGGACTCAGCTTTGCACAAATGCTTTGATCTCATTCCCTTTTTTACAGAATTGAACGGGTCTTGTATAGGACTTGGAAGGATGTTTCAAATGCAGCTAAATGTGCTGAGTTCACCGAATGTTTTATTACCAAGTTACTACGTACACACCTGTGTTCTTCGTTTTCTAGCCGAGCTGGATAGTGTTCCGCAGCGCGCTTTACAATTGGAAGTATCATATGGCCAATGTACTCGGTTCCATAGCAGTAAGCAAACTAGTGTTTGTATTTCAAAGTAGCCTAGTGCAACAATGAGCACTGTTCAAGCATGCCCCTTAAATAGACTACAATTCGAATACAACAATATATACTGCCACACAAAGTAGCGATACTCAACCACGGAAACTGATGAATTTACATGGGTATGCATTAAGATCATCATGAAATGAAATGGTTGTTCGATTCACCAGAAACTGTTCAAATACTAAGAGGGCCATTAGACACAACTATTGATCAGATTAAAGTGGAATTGCTTTTATTTGCTAAGTGTACACATTTTTCCTTACATGTTTCGCCGCAGAAAAACAAGCCTGAAAATAAATAAATATAAAAAAATAATTGTCTGGTTCATAGAGCGAGAAAAATCTGTTCAAACGAATCTCTCAATGAGGAGCTTGAGATTATTAAAGAATTACTTAGTTCAAAAATGTTCACTGAGATAGGTTCATTTAGAAAAATACGAATTTAACACAAAAGCATATCAGTAGGTCAACAGCTCCAGTAAAATCTATTCTCCATGAAACTGCAGTTCCTCGGTGACAACATCTACGAAATAGTAACACAACACCTAAAGAATACACTTAACATAACATTCAGTGCAGATCAGATTCGTTGTCTTCTCCCTCTCACCCGTATTTTACCTTCAAGAAATAAGGACAAACTACCTGAGTATGCCTCCTATATGTGTATCTACCAGTTTGACTGCGACTAAAGAGCCAGCTACATTGGGCGTACAATTAGGCAGGTTCATCTTAGTATTTCCGAACATCATCCTGCATTATGGTTATGCAAGGGACAAACAAGATTTGTTCGTATCTACTTCTGTTTTAGCACACCTTGTAGATAGTTAGCACAAAGTTGATGCTGTTACAGCAATTAAAGTTACTTGTTCTACCTGTAGCATTAAGTGAATCCCTTAGAATATTCTTTGGCCTTAGAAATGCACTAGAGTGGGTTGAAAGACAGTTAAAATTGCGCGTGAGTAGATTTTTCTACTCAAGGATATATAAGTGAGTGATTAAAACAATAAGAATTCTAGTAATTTTGATTGAATTGTCTTTGGAGGGAAATTCAGGTGACTCAGTGATTCAAGCAGACCGCTGTTTTTTTAAGAATAGTCAAATACATAATGACTGAATTGAAGTAACGTAGAGACCCAATTGAAATCTCTTCTGAATTATGGATGACATGGCAACTTGAGACTGTATATTTTCCCTGACAATGGCAAATGCCTCATCATAAGTCGTTATTATATAATCAGAGAACAGCGTCAGTTCACCACGAATATAAAACGCATGTAGACTCACAACGAGGTAGAGATGCGGGTTCATCTGAAGAAGTTTTCAAAATTTTGAATTAACTGAAGTTAGATTTTATTTATTATACTCTTATGGTTGAATGAAATGTATTTAAAGTGTAATATCTGTAGACTGCAAACTGTGGTCGAGTAAAATACTTTTGATATTATTAAATTAAAATTAGATATACTGTCACATGCTAAACTTTGATACTGAGCCTGTATTAGAATAAACTACAGAATGGTAGTCAAAACTCACTCCACCTCAACATCATCGACATGGAGAAGGCCTTCACCAGACAGTGATGACCGAGAAGTAATTTGGAAACTACGTTGACTCTACGGCGTACCTCAATTCTTTATCAAACTCACTCAACAGCTGGCCATATGACAATGTCACGTGTTAGGTGATCCACGACGGAAAACTCACTGCGGCATTCGAAGTGAATACAGGAGCTAAGGAAGGCCATTCGCCTGTTATCACCGATTATGTTCTACATTTTGGTGGACTGTATTATGCGTCAGACTGTGGGGAGACAGGAGACGGCATTACCCTGGACCACCGATGAGAAGACTCTAGAAGATATGGATTTCGCAGATGATATATGTCTAATGTCACATAAACTCGAAGACCTGCAAGCGAAAACCAACAAACTGGCAGAAGAGGCAGGCAGCGGAAACAGGACTCCAAGTGAACTCAGAGAATATGGAGATGATGAAGATAACCAACCAACAGCAACAGCAAGAACAACCAGCCCCAGTCACCGTCAAAGGGGGAGATTTAACAAAGGTTACTTCCTTCACTTGTTTCAGAAGCATCGTTTCAACTACAGTTGAGACGGATGAAGATGAAGAATCGGAAAGGCAAGATACGCCTTCACCAACCTGGAACCAATTTGGAAATCGGCTGCATTCAACAAAAGGAACAAGATTCGCATTCTGTTCAACACAAATGTCAAGTTGGTCCTTCTTTGTGGGTCATAAACTTGACCAGTATGTAACGAGATGAATTTCCAACAGGTTGCAGACTTTCATCAACAGCTGACACCTTCGTTGACTGGCTCTATACTGAATATTGTGTGACCGGCCGGCCAAAAATCATCAGTAACAAGAGACTGTATGAACAGACCAACCAAGTACCGATCGCTCAACAAATACGTAGAAGAAAATGGAGATTGCTAAGCATACATCAAAGAGACCGTTGAATGACGTCGCACTTTATGCAGGCCATTGCTCGAGCAGATTCCCAATGTGAATCGACGAGTGGGTCATCGATACGTGTGTGACATGGAGGAGATCATGTGGCAAGGAGGAGGAGGAGATGAGAGATTGTGAACAATCGTAGACCCAGCTGAAGAGGACAACGGAACAAAGCATAGGTGTGGTGTTGAAGCCCTATGTTCCATTTGGAACTCAGTGGAATAATAACAATAATATGGAACAACTTAGCCCAATACACTATGTTGTCTTAATAATAGGCAAACAGTAATCACTCAGAAACCCAGAATATATTAAATTAGCCCTAATATAGTGACCTGTAGGACGTCAAGTATGCCTAACTCAAACCATTTCATGAATATGCTGCCTTCAGTTTCTAGGAAGGAAACTTCCCTATGAAACGACATTCCATCTGATAATATTACTACCAACTCAGTTACTCCTGAAAATAAACACAGTACTGAACTTACTATCAGCGCAAACAGTTTCACCTTGAAAGCAGAAATAAAATTCTTCATTAAGAATCGGGGTAATCTAACACATAGTTGAGTATTCTGAATTAATTCTGTCTTCAGGAAATGCCTTTTAATTGAAATTATCATTATTGATTATTAAGAATAATACTACTTATGAACTAACCATCAGTAGTATTAGTAATCAGCATAAAAATTCTAATATTTCACTAAGTTTCAAGAGTGTCAACGGAAATTCGCCACTGGCTAAACACTGGCTGGTGGTAGGGCCGCATATCGCAAATCGGTAAAAATTTTGATTCGCGCACTCAGTCATCTAACTCCGTTCAAGTTGCCAGTGAATGGTCAAAGCGGTTGGCTTGTAACGTAAAAATCCTGTTTTCGGTCCATCGTTGGATAATGCGTGCGTACTGTTGAAGACTCAAAGACAAAGACGAAACAATGGCTCTCCAGCTGAAGTCATTTCATGACCAAAGTTGTAATCAATCAAATCCCTGATAAGCAACTCTTGAGAATAGTAAACAAAGTACTGGCTACAGTAAAGGTAGACTGGATTTAGGTTCACTATGTTAAACATGATATACATTCACAAATGTTTGAATAACTGACATACAGATATAGCGACTTCCAACTGAAAATAAAGTAGTAACGTTATACAAATTTACATCATTCAGTTTTACCAAAATAGAAATTTATAATAATTAAGCTAATTAACGTGACAAACTGCATACTCAATCTACATAAGCCGTATAAAGAACGATTTAAGTGGTTAGTTTTGTCATTTAGAGGCTAGAGATGAGACTCTTCAGCTGATAAGTCCAAAAAGGACTGGATGCTCATCGAGGATTTCAATGTCCATTAAATTACTTCAAGTTATTCGCACAGACGTCGTCATGGCGTCCATTTTAAAAGTTGATACGTCAAGAGACGCCAGAAATTTCAGTTCAATCAATCAAACGACAAAATCGAAATTGAATTGAAAACAAGTAGTGACTGGTACGCATTGCACAGTAGGTGGCTCTCATGGCCCAATCGGTCTACTCAGAAACTCAGGTTCATCCAGATGACGAGTACTCAACTGGATAAAATATGCGTGATAGATTCCACGATTAGTCGCCATCTACCTGAAAAACTACTTTATGAAATGTTCAAAGCTAGTTGTAAGTAGTTTATTGTAGATGGGAAGAGAAGTGAAATTTATCACTCAAAATTTCTTTTGGTGGAAAGGGAATATATTAATAATTCTGTCCATATCTTCTTATGGAAACGTTAAGAAATGCTTTACAACTGTCTACCCACACACACATACACTCTGTTTAAAGTGCTTAACAAAGGTAGACCAATATTTGTAAGTCCAAGGTCCAATTTTGATCACAGCTGATAAAATTTTGTTTATTATACTTGTTGAATGACTTATGATTGGACAAAAGTTTTGATAACAAGTGATGTTCCTTTTATATATAAACCTCTGTTATGTTAATTTCGATTAATTTCCCTGAAGAAGTTCGGACCAGATTTCCGAACGAAACGGAACTACTTATTTCAATCTCGCTGAGATTTTACAAATATAATTTTTTACAAATGCCTACTTCTCACTCGGCGCCCAAATATTTTAGAACTATTCTGTCAAATTTTGACGACAGTTCATTTGAAATATATAAATAACTCTTTCAAATCCCAAAGCTGATTTTATATCACTTTTATTCACTTGGACTGGTAAGTTCCAACTGACAACCCCTTCACAATTTAGCAGCACGGATTACTTGAACAAATGTCACGTGTTGCCATGATGTTTATTTTAAAGGTACTGGCCCGGCAGTACATATCTTGGGCGTCGGATGGTTGGAGGAAATCGGCTCAACCTGGTCTAGGTTTCATACTAGCTGGAACTCATCATTCAACAAAACGTCGTATCTGAAACCTTGAAGGAACTCGTATTCCTTCTGACATTCGAACCTATATCACTGAGTCCTGCAGTCAGAGGTGACGTTACCACTGAGTTATTCATGCTGGCTCGCGGCTGACCTCCTGCAGGACCGAGTGTATTTCATACTTTTAATTGGACACTTGTTGGTAACCGGTGTAATGTGTCTAGTCCTGTCTTTCGTGCAGCCTGAACTTTGTCAGTTACATTTCTAATGTGGCCATCATGCCACTGGGTGGCTCAGCATCATGGAGCACATTGAATTGTTGGTATTAGATGGATGGAGGCGATCGTCAGGAAGCCTTGACTATTTTTAGATTATTCAATAGTTATTTGCGTACAATGGAAATATTTCGAACAGGTTCACTGTCATTAGTAGAATCTAAAATGGGTGTTTCTTAATGTTTTCTTCTATTCTGCAGGATCCCAGTAGATGATGCTTTGATATTTTTGAAACGATGGATTGTTGCACTATGGTTCATCAGGATGTGAAGTCATCTAACTGATAAGTTTAAGAGACAGTGAAAGGTACGTCATCGACCCATCATCTGCCAACCACCGTCAAGCGAATATCCCAAATTAATCAATAACTGATTAGGCTTTTGAACAAATTTTTACATTGATTTCGAAAACTGAAGATCTTAAGATATTGAAGATTTACCCGCAAAAGTAATTTCATTCCCACTTTTCTGACATACAATTTGTTGCCGAACAATCTGTCAGTATAATTCTTCATGGCTTTCTATGACGGCGAGCATGTTTTCTTCCTGACGAGTAGGCCTTACTGATGGCGAATGCATAATAGATACTTTGGAGTAAACACATACATAATTAGAAATGAAGATTTGAGCTGTGAAAATTCTGTTTATTTAGCCAGTGTTGAGCAACTTACCAGTGAGTTGACAGTCAATTTGACCTGGAAATATTAGAGTTAATTGCACGGTAAATGTAGGCATAGAATAAGGACGCTATAGCAGAGTATACTTGTATCAGTGATAGAAGAGTTTATCAATTCAAATTACTCGGCAATAAAATGAAACGACGTCAAGCGTGGGATCATAAAAGCAAGAGAAATGTGTATAAGGAATACAAACATTCCCATATTGATAATTACAGAGCACGATTTAAGCAAGCGAATACGTATTTGGGTAAATCCACATTTACATAATGATGGAAGATTAGTCATAGGCATTTGATTTTATGTGGTTAATAGAATATAGTAATGTTTTGATATGGTTGTGTTCTCTGAGCTGAATAGTTAGATTGCGATGCTTTCATTGCCTCCCCCCCCGTACTAGACAACAAACATCTTCAGCGCATACTTCAATTTGTTGAAGTGAGATTTAGATTTCACCAATACTTTGTTAGTCATCTCTCCTGGTGGGTGAGTGACCTTGAACGTGTGTGGTTGTTTTCGTCTGTTTTTACACTCTCTAGGCTATTTGTATCGGAACTGAACAATGAGTTTGGATACGTTACTTAGACGACACATTTGTAATAATCAAAAGAAACGAGTTAGATAAAACTCACATCGTAATAAACAACGTCTCCAACGACATCAAATTCACAAGAGAAGAGGAATCCGAGAACAAAATCCTATTTCTGGACGTCTTAGGCAAGCGAACAACCACAGGGGAATTAGAAACACAAGTTCATAGAAAATCAATTCACACAGATCGAATACAGAAATACAACAGCAAAAATCCAATAACACACAAAAGGAGTTGTATACAAACACTATTCAAGAGAGCCAGGACTCATCGCAGCATTCCTGCCTTAAGGAAAATTGAAGAAATATATCTCATGGACATCTTTCAAAATAATGGATGGATATCCACGGAATGTCATCAAAAGACATATACCGTCAAGCCAATCTATCAAGTCAAAGGCCCCCATTGAAAACACAAAAACAATCGCCCTACCATATATTAAGGACAGCTCAGAAATCACTGCAAGACTCTTCAAACCTTTAGGAATTGACGTTGCACGCAAACCGACAATATTTCAAAGTATATTTACACATGTATTAACCCGGCTTCATATATACATGGTTACAGGTATGTTTACCACAACAATTACGCATTCTGTTTGTCTTATTTAGTATGTCGATAACTTCAGACATATTTGTAGTTAGCATACGTATCGAATTTGGAAATAATTTGGGCATTGGGAATATGATGTTAATTTTTATGAAAGTTTTGTATTTCTCAATGAATAACCGAATGCCTAAGGGCTCTCTACCTGACTGTGTCTGCACAATGCAATATACATTGGACAAACATTCCTAGAGAGAACTCAAAGTAATCAGAAAATATGAATACCGTAGTGCCACCTCTGTTCGTCCAAAGAGAAATCCACTTGAACTAGAAAAGCTTGAAAAATCACCAGCCATCAGGTCACAAAATTGATTATGACAATATCGAAATCATCATCCAGAAAAATTCCAGGAATCCCAGAAAACGTCTAACATCAAAAATACTTCCTATCGAATGGATTCAAAAGTGTCTGAATAGGAATGATGGATTAAAGCAGGATTTGAACTTGTAACAACGCCCCCGCTTCCTCCAAGCAATGTCAAAATCAACACGAATGTGATAAACACATGCTGCCTTTATAATTCTATACTCCTATTAATTACAGCAATCTAAAGAAGTCCTGTAATCTTTAACAACTGGTCAGCTTAAAAAGGTAGGAATCACCTCATTGCTGAAGAAACGATGGTTAAGTTCACGAGTATAGGCTTAGATTTTATAAATTCTGGTTTAATAATATTGGTTTGATAAAGCTGTTAGCAGTATGAAATAGTGAAATGTCATTCCGGATTAACATCGTCTTGTCTTTTACATTCATTAGGAAATACAGGAAGCCTTTTATAATAATGAGCATTCGGATCAACTCTAAATCATATACAGTATCTAGGAAAATATAATTTACTTTTATGATTGTAAAATTGTACCATGTTAAAGTAAAATGCAAAATTTACGTACACTGTTCTCTATTTATTTTTTCACCTATAATAAAAGAGATAGCGAGAAAGAGTGTGTGTGACATTTACGGTGTAAATGTGAATATTAAATTCATACAGACTTACCTCAAACATCAACTATCCACATTCCCTTCGAGATAGTTATTCTGACTCTCTACGTTCATTAGCAAGTTTTTCAACAATATTGATTTAGAAAATCGCTGTCATATTATCAACGAATCTTCTAACTAATATCAATCCATGATCAGCTCACAACAAACAATCTAATCCTTACGCACCAACGAAAGAAAACTAATCTGATGCTCGCTAGTGAGTGACTTGCTATAGGACGGAGCTATCTGCACTTCTAGTGAGAAGTCGTGACCAGTCAGGGGTTCATCCATTCAAGTATGAGGATGGATATCCGACCGATGACATTGGTTTATGGCAGTCGCGCTAAATCACGAATTAATAGAAGTTACAATTCATGGGCTTGCCACTGATTTAATCGGGTATCAGTGGCTGAATGGTATACGACCTTGCCTTGTAACCGGAAGGTCCTGGGCTCGACCACTGACAGTGGGTGCGTACTGCCGAAGAAACTTGAAACTAGGACTAGTCAGTGACCACTGTAGTGTATCTAGCCTTTTGTTTGATACAGAGTGAAGTCTGTCAATAAAGTTTACAATGTTGCCACCATGCCACTGGATGGCTAGCCATCACGGTGTGCTTTAAATTGTTGATATTAGATGATTGAACTGGACACATTACACCAGTCACTGACTAGTGGCATAGCGGTTGGGACGCTCGCCTGACACAATGAACAACTCAACTGATATGGTAGGTACACCTATTAGTCCGTGGCACCCTGCGCTTCACTGAGGCACATAAATATCAAAAGATATAGACTAACCTGTGACTCTAAGGCTACGTACTATTTTATATATATTGTTCAACCACATTGTAATCGGCCCAGGACAGTGGGAAATAGATTGTTCTAATTGGTAGGTGACTCGACTAGGTTGGAGAAAAATTACTCTGATTGGTTGGTGATCTGACCAAGACCAATGTTAGAAAAAGATGAAATTTTATAGTAATCCAATCATGGGATGAGTCACAAGTTGAGTCATAAGACAATTGCTATTTTAATCTGATTCCTATCAGTTAGATGCTAGGGTCAGTCAGCAGGAAGCCATGAACATCGATCTCATATTTATTGATAGTTATCAACAAAGTTGAATGAACTCACCTTTACAATTTCCTTTACCTGCAAATATTATTCAAATTTGATTTTGAAATATTTTAAGAGAATAGAAAATTATCTTGAATGACTGATGAGATATTCATATTATTGGTGTAATTCTACTATTTCTGATGACTGAATTCTTCATTACAGTTTTGATATTTTGCTGCTGACAATGTTTATCATTAGTATATAAAGATGCATTCATCGACATTAAAAAAATCCAGATAGGAGGAAGATACATTTGATTCCAGTAAAGGCAAATGATACAGAGTTGTGGAGATACATGGAAGACATGAAAGGAACGTAAACAAACACAATCTGAAGGCCAGAACTACCAAAACACGAAGATCTATGCAAACGGTGCGTTGAAGATAGGGTATACAAAATTTATGTTCTCCACCGTTTCCATTTTAAAGTGCTTTTATACATTACCAGTTAGGTGTTCATAATTCTTTAAACTCCCATTTTATTCAGAACAGTTTAACACTGGCTTTTGAACTTACATGATTCGTAATCACTGTCACTTGTTGCTGTGATAGAAAGATGTAGACATGTGCATAAGCTTGAGTTATCTATTGATTTACTGAAGTTTCATTTCTTCATTCTCAAAACAGTCATGTAAAAATGTTCAATAAAGTGCATCGTTAGTACGAAAAATAAAACAAAATAATTAACTCTGGTGCTAACGAACGAATTCTTCGTGTATATTGTCAGGATTAAATTGACATACACTCATATATACAAATAGCTACCTCATCTAATTTACTAGTTCGCTCGTTTACTGGCTGATCACAAACCAGGTAAAAGAAGGAAGGTTTGGCGTGAAGCTGGTGACTCTACCCCATGAAAAGCAATCCAATCGATAAAGAAACCTCGAAGCACAACAGAAATATAAAAAACAAAAAACTGATTCTTCCCTGGAAGCGGAGAGAAATGGCGAAATGACATAGTGGGCTAATGAAAAGCTTTCGTAAAGCCAGTCAACCAATGTTTCATCTTTAGATAACACCGAGAAAAAAATTGGGGACGTAGAAATTTCGCATAATTCTTGAAGTCAGGAAGGTTGTTAAGGTCGCATAACATATGAGATATGATTTGGAAGTGCTAGTCATCTGTGAGAACTGGTGATGGAATGGATTTGGACTATCCAAATAACCAACTGAACAATCAGGAATCCACTGCGGTCACACAGACGACAACCACCAATAGCAGCCAAAGCTCTCCTTTTAGGATAATAACAGCAAGACTCAATTCAAAATGAAGGAAGGCTACAATTATCCAACTCTATGCACACACAATGTGACATGGATTTCACCTGATGGATACACCAGAAACCAAACAGACTTCATCTCGATCTTATGGAAACGGAGACACAGGAAGTCGGGAATTTGAGCAAATGTGTATTCAGACCATTATCTCGTGCAAGGAACCTTCAAGATCAAGATGAAAGTCTTCAGAACAACTGTAGGCAGACTACAATTCAAGTTCATTGCACAGAAACGGAGAGACAAAACCACAAAAGACAGCTTCACTGAAGCTATCACAGTGAAGTCGGCGACACTAAGTAGTATCAATGAGGAAATCAGCGTAGGAGAACAATAGAACTCAGTGAAGGCGAGAGTCAAGGAAACGTGTATAGACCCAGGTGTAACCAAAGCAGAATAAGCCATAGGTACTGGGGACCTCAGGACACTATATGAGATAACCAGGTGACCATCACGAAAGAGATACACACAGATAAGAGCAACGAAAAGTGGACAGGGACATCTTATTACCAAAGAAGAGAAGGAAAGGCAAATATGAGGTTGTCAATCTAAAGAACTCTTGAATCGACCATCAAATGAGACTTGTCCAAAAATACCATAGGACTCCCAGTGGACACCGGTCCATCAACAAGAGCAGACGTCCCAATTGCAATCAAACCACTGAAAATCAACCGGGAGTGAGGAAGGATGGAATGAAATTACTGCGAAAGCACTGAAATGGACCTAGAGACGGTGGCGGATAACCTGACACTACCATTGAAAAACGCTTGTTAGGAAGGAAATCAACCTGCTGAGTGGAAACGACGTAAGCTTGCTGAACTGACAAAACAGAGCAAATTAGGCCTCTGCAGGAACTGCGGAGGAAACACTATACTATTCACATCAAGCAAAATATATAATCTCATCATCTAGGAGAGATTGAAGAAAGCTGTGGATGCAGAACTCCACCTGGAGCAAGCTGAACTGAGGGAAAGCAAGTCAACTCAAGATCAAATTGCAACGCTACACGTTATCATCCAACAAAACACAGCATGGCAGTCAAACGTCTACCTAAATTGCACCAAACGTTAGTCAACCTGTTTCAATAGCTCTGTGACGATGCCATATGTCAATTGATCAACAGGTGAAACCTCAGAGAAACCTTCGAAGTACAGACCGAAGTAAGACAAGAATGCCTGCCTACTATCCCGACTGATATCTCTGATTACCTCGGATTGGACCATACTAAAGACGGTGGACAGTGGGAAGGCAGTAAGACGTCAGACTGGCAATAAGAATCTAGAAGATATGAAAATCGCAGATGAAGAAGATATACAGGCGACAACCAACTGGTTGGCAGGAGAAGCAGCAAACACACGAATTTAAGTGAACATAGAGAACACAGGAGTGATGAAGATAGCCAACCAACCACGACGAGCTTCAGTCAATATCAACGGCAGAAATTTGAAAGGGATCACCCGCTTCACTTATCCAGGTGAAATCCTTTCAAATACTGCCTGATGACATGGATGATGATGGGAAATGCAGGACAAACAAAGGTTCATCACTCTGGAACAATTCACTCGGAAAATCTCATCAACTCAGCACAAATAACGAAATTCTCATTTTCATCACGAATGTTTGTTGAGTTCTTCTATATGGATGAAAAACCTGAATTTAACGTCACAAAAATATTTTCCAACAGGCGTCTGAATACTTTCATGAACAACTGCCTTATTCCCTTACTCTATACTGAAGATCAGATTACCGGCTTGTCAGAAGGAAGTATGAACAAGAAACTCTGGGAACCAACCAACCATGAATCTATTTTATTTTTTTAAAATTTTTATTTTGATTACAGCTTGATGCCACATCGTATTTTCAGTACAAGTATGACATTTTCAGCGTGGATATCGGTAGCCCAAATTTTGCAGGCCGACCATAGATATCGGGTGTGCGTCGGTAGGGGTTCGAATCCCGGACCATATGCATGGTCGGCGAGATTCCTAACCACTGTGTCACCGACGCAAATAAGGAAATGGAGATAGATTGGACAAACTCTGAGGAGACGGCTGGGTGACATCGCCGCTCATATCGCTCCTCAAGGGGGCACCGTAATGCTAAGCAATAATTCAGGCGGCTGAGGATGACATGCGGGAGATTGTGTGGGGAGGTGGTAACAGCCCATGGACAACCGAGCATTCACCGGTAGATGATTGCAGATGACGGGAATTATCTAGATGAACTTTTGAAGAGGTATATCCCACTTGGAACCCGAAGAAATAATGATTATGGGTAGCGCTGTATCGTATCGTCTTTAGCAAGAAAATTCTCTACCGTTTGAACTAAGATTAAGATGTGCGCTTTCAAAAATTTGACAGCACACTGTTATTCTCTACGTACATAAGTAATGTTAATATTCATACTTACAATTCTGTGAGCATCCTAGTGTACCTGAAATAAAGGCGAATGGTTTTCCAGCATATTTATAACATGTTCAAATTACTGAACAAACTAAGCATGCAATAAATCAAATCGAAAATCTTCAGATACACCCTAATCTAATCTGAAATGAAATACTGACATTCAACAAAAAGGTGAGAATAAATCAAAATTATCTTCGAAAAAACAAATCCAAAAGTGTGTGTGTAAAATAAACTGGGTGTCAATAATTGTGAACATTGAACGTTTGTTCATTGACCTTAGTCGCTATTGGCGGTTAACTTGAACGCGCGAGTTATTCTATTGTGTACAAGTTGAAACAAGACGAAAGAATACGAATAAAAGTACATAACATTCCTTGTAAAACATTTGTTTATAGACTTTGTACAGAGTATTGATTTTAACTGCCGAAAGATACAATTTCTTGTCATTCCTTGTGTTTTGAAGTTAAAGTCTATATTGTACATGGTATAATTGTCGATTCGAGTGTCTTCGGAAATAATAGGAACTTAAAGTCAAGTTCCTTGACACTGGGAATTTCGAATTTTAAAATCTTATCGTCTATCGTTTGAACCAACAGTAAAGCATCGGTGGCTCAAGTGTAGAATGCTCTTTATTCACACACACATACAGTTTAGGTTAAATTCCTAGGCGACATCGCTTCACCAGTTAGTTACAAATGCGGGAAGCAGGGGAAGTACTTGGGTAGAATAAAATCAACGTTATTGAAATTTCAAAAACTGACTCACTTGTCAAAGTGATTCTTGTTAAAGTCTATAATTTCCCCCATGAACACATAGGTGTTCCTTCTTCATTGTGCTCATACAAAATAATGCCTCACATTTAGTCTAAATAACTATTTCATATGAGTCTCTCTGAGGATAGAACACTTATAAGTAAAGAAAACACTTAATTTATACAATTTTCATTATCGCGACAGTAATAAGACACTTACAGTAGAATTTTTGTGCACCCGTTTCTGAATAAGAAAGTGAAAATAGAGAATCATTTTACACACTGTGGCGTGTGATACTGATAAGACTCATCAGTAGTATATATAAAGTGACGCTCATCGGCACACAAAAATATCAAATAGTGGAGAAATAGAATTGACGTCAAACAGAGCAAATTGACCAGCATTGCCACAAAACATGGAGTATACGAAAAGAAGACAAAGAAAGATAATACAAATAGCAGAAGTGATCCACAACACGGAAGATCTGTACAGCCAAATGATGATGTGTAGTTTGTTCGAAGTGCTTTTCGTGACGCGGCACGGTCCAAAGTCTCTGATCCGTGTAGTAGCACTGACCTCACATTGGAGTTGAAAATCCAAGTCTTATTTTCATTTCACGCTAAGTGCTGTTGACCTCCACACAGACTTGGGAGTAATGAAAGCTTGCTTGCTTTGCTTTCCCGATCCTTGCTTTGATATCCCCATCAGTTCTGTCCGTAAGTAGTTGAAACGATGCTTCTCAGGTAGGTAAAGGAGGTTGTTTCCTTTAGGTTCCTCCCGTTTATGCTGATTGTTGCACACCTAACGGTTTCTATAGATTACTTTGAAAGCAGTTTTGTTATCAGTCTTGTGAGTCATATCAACTTGGCGTTTTAGTGTAGACCAACTTAGTTGCAGACTACTTGCTCACCTTAACAATGATAACACGAAATTTCCTCAACAATAACATTAGACAGATATGGAGATCCAGTAGACCCTCAGTAACAAACTAAGTATTCTGGAACCAAATAAGTTGACCAAAGATCAAATGTAAGTCAAGACAGACCTTCATCGCTTTGAAGTCATTCATTAAGTGAGTTCTTCTCTATGGGTGAGAAACATACACTCAGCGTCTCGAAGAGAATGTCCAAGAGGTGTCTGAATACTTATATGAATGGTTGTCCCACTGACTTACTCCGTACTGAGGATCGGATGGCCAGCTCGGCAGAACAAATTATGAATTAGATAATCTAGGAACGACCCAATCAATAAGCTCTTAAACAACAAATAATGATAAGGAAACGCATATGGATCGGACATTCTGTGAAGATACCACTGGATGACATCGTGCTCAAGGTCGGCTCTGGTGTGAAACCTTAATGTGAAGCAACGGATGAGATGTAAGTCCATATGTGATATGGAACGTATCATCCATAGAGGAGATTACAGACATTGTGCAACTGTGGATCCACTTGAATCCAACTGCAGAGAACAGGAGAGAATGAAGATATGCTGTATGATCCAGTGGAATCGTAAGGTAGTTTTAACCCCACTCACTATTCGTGCTACCAGTCAAAATCCAGATTTTCTGTGGAACAAGATTATCAGGATCTTTATAGAAAGGACCATTTAAGTCTTAATAAAGTAGACATCTAATACACTACTATAAAATACATTTTATTTGATTTCAGTAGTACGGTTTACCAACCTTGTGAACACAGCGTACCACCTGAATTGAAAATATAAGAAGACAAAATTTAGAGTAAGAATTTCAGGATGATAATAGTAATAATAATAATAATAGTAAGCAAATCAACAGTCAACTAGGTGACAGGAATAAAGATCAACCCTGAATAAATGTCATCGCATTTTAATACTTATAACATTTTTCTCCGTCTAAAACTTTTGGATGTTTATTCGCTGTCTGAAATAGTATATCTGTAGAAACTGTAAAAACCTCGCCTAGTTAACGAGTTTGCTAGTTTCTAGGGGATGCCAAGCCATGGTAAATAATAATAATAATAATAATAATTTGCTTTATTCCAGAAACAGTACTAGTGGTACAGTGTGGAATTTTCAGCACATATCTACAATATTTGCATCTAATTTTACCGACATTTAAAATAAGTATTAAACAATAAAAAATAAATCTGAAGACACCAACAGCAAAAACAAAAAAAAAAAAAAAACAGGATAAACACAAAATAATTATGAATGCAAAAAAGTACCAAAGTCTACCAAGGTCTAGTGCAGTGTTTGTGGTGGTAGTGTGAGTAGTCCTGAATAATACAAAATTTCTTTTTGAGGTGGTGACTATGGCCTTCACAAACAATGATTGTCAGTTTAATATTGCCGAAAAGTATAGAAAATAAGAGAAACAACCACAAAACTAATAATTACATGATGGTTAATGACACGACAATTTTGTAATACTCATAGTGCTGATATAGTCGGAACCAGTGGATACACAATAGAAGGAATATAGTAAAGTACAAAAAAGGAAGCCAATGTTAATAATTCAGGTAGCTAAGTAAGTTTGAAGAAGGAGTTCACTAAAGAATACGAAATAAGAGAGAAATAAAAGAGTATGAAATTATGTTGTTAATAACAAAGCAAGTCACAGGTTTCACGCTTAACATTGTCTCTGTCGCTTAGAACACGGGCCAAGTATGGTATCGTTGAGTTCCTGTACTTGGTTGTACGAGCATAGATTCTTTTATACTGATTTCTGGTTTTACTTGATGAGATACAAGGCGAGAGTTGGGAATAGAGGGGGTGTTGGGGGTTTGAGAGTATGGTTTTAGACCATTTTTCACATGTATTCAGATGCCTATCAACTAAGGTAGTCACGAGCTGGTTGAGATTAACACCACTAGTCCTACTAACTACTGTCAACATCCTTCTCAGGATGGAATAGTCCTTTTTCAGTAGACCAGGAAAGACTAACGGGGAGCAGTAAAGTAAAATAGGTAGGATACAAGAGTTGACAAATTGTGAAAGTAGAGGTTGGGTGATTCCGGATTGTCTAAGTTTCCTAATGTAGTAGGTAAGACAGAACACTTTCCTAGAAATCATTAGGATATGAGATGTCCAAGTAAGGTCAGAAGATATAACTAGACCGAGGTATTTTGCATTAGACTTAGTTTCAATTTTTGTCCCCTCAATGCAACAGTCTTCATGAGAACTTACTAGTGTTTGTAGATCCCGTTTATGCCTAAGGGAGAAGTCGACAGTCTGGCATTTTGAGGGATTCAACATGAGTCCATTTAGTTTGGACCACTCACTGATGTCCGACAGGAAGCTATTTAATTTGAGACAGTCTGACTGACACTTAATGGAAAACGATACAGACAGGTCATCTGCATATTTGACGAAGTTGACTTCATCTGAGAGAGGTAAATCATGTAAGAAGAAGGAAAAGAGAAACGGAGAAAGAACAGCACCCTGGGGAACTCCAGCTTCAGTAAGCAATGGAGAGGAAGATGCACCATTATATACCGTGTACTGCATCCTATTAGAGAAGTAAGAGTGCAGCCAGTTGATAACCCAGGGCTCAGTTTGTGCTAGGCTAAGCTTGTTTAACAATAGGCCTCTAGGTACAGAGTCGAAAGCAGATGTATAGTCAAGGAACGTACAACGGACAAACTTGGCCCCTTTGTCTAAGGAGGATACAATGTTGTGATGAAACACAGCGGCAGCGTCCAAAGTACTTTTACCCTGTTTGTAAGCAAACTGCTTTGGATCGTTTGAGAAGCTTAAGGAGGGAACAAGTTTTAGTAACAATAGTTTCTCCATTAGTTTCAAAAAAGGAGAGGTTATAGCAATAGGTCTGAACTTAGCATTATTACCAGAGCCTGACTTAGGTACAGGGATGATTTTAATATCTTTCCACAGAGAAGGTACAACATTATTAGAAAAAGAAGTATTACAAATGTTTGTAAGTGGGTTGCTTAAAATATCAGCACATTTCTTTAGGACAATGGCAGGTATACCATCAGGACCTAGACTCTGGGAAGGTTTAAGAGATTTTAAACATTTAAGAACATCAGAAGTTTTAAAGCTATTAAAGTCACTGGTCATGTTATTTGTTACATTGAAGCTAGAAGGTACATTGGGAAGGCGGATAAAAGATCTATTAAGAGTATTTACGTCAATAGAGGGAGAACAAGAACTATGCTTAGGATTGGGCGCTAGCGCAAATTCAACGCGCAGAAAATATATTAACAATACAAAAGATGCAAATAACAGTCTTATTCTTTACTGGAATCGGAGAGGCGAAATGAAACAGTGGGCCTATATGTCTTCCAGCGATGAAGGTGAAAATAAGAACTTGGAAGTGAAATGTCCGTACGATCTAGGAGACTGGGAAAGCTGCCTAGGTAACCAAAGAAATGCGAAGATATGGCATATAACTGCTAGGTGTCCGTGAGAGCAGATGGAATGGTTGAGGTCTATTAAAATTGTCTACTAGAGAGTCAGTAAGCCACTCGGGTCTGGTCACAGGGATTACTGTCGTGGCAGTGAGTGACTATCATGATTCTACCAGTGGCAGCCAAAGCCCTAGTGCAGTGGGAACCAATTTCATCCTGCACGATCATGACAGCAAGATTCAACTCAAAAGGAAGGAATGAAGGTCACAATTATCCAATGCTACAAACAGTGCTAAAAACAACGCGGAACCAGTGAGGAAGAAGGAAGACTTTTACAGGCAACTACTAACAGTGATGGGCAACATCCCAAATAGAAACATCAAAATCCTCATGGGAGATATAAATGCCAAACTAGGAACAGATAATACAGGAAGAGAACTCGTGATGGATTGAGAGGCTCTCCCTTGAGGAAATGAACGAGAATAGCGAATTAATCGCAGACTTCTGCGCATTCGATGATTTGGTGATTGGAGGCAGCGCGTACAAACACAAGGATATACACAATGCAGCATGGATTTCACGGGACGGAGACATGAACTGGTGAAAGTTGATTGGTTCTCAGTAACTGAATGGTCTACAAGCCTGCTTTGCTACGGCAGTGTCCTAAGTTTGAATTTCGGAGGGTGTGAATCGTTGAGGAATCTGAAACTACGATGAAGCAGCTGTCAAGTACTCCACGCTAGTTCTCTGCGACTCTCCAATTTGAAAGAAATCACATCCGTAGAAATTAAATCTTGAGTAGCTATAAACACATATCAGTCCATTGATTTACTGTTACGTCACAACACTGGTCCAATTATTGTTTTAAACAAAAGATAAACTCACAATCTTTGCTAGCCCAATGGTCTGCAATAAAATTGAGTAATTCGTTGTTGGTAATAGTATGATTCCAGTCATTGAATGAAGTGATAGATTATTTAATGCAAAATCCATATAATGAAAACCTGGATTAAATCATTGTTGCCAAGAATGGAAATCAATTTATTTTAAGACGGTTCTAAAATAGAAGAACTAATGTCTTCCTTCCGTACAGGTCTATGCATGCTGATATTTATATGTGGCTCAACACACACGCACACACTCTCTATTTCTTCAGTCAACTTCCGTTAAACATATACGAAACTAAATTAAAGGTTTCATTTTGTTAATACACTGATTCATCCCTTTCATAAAAAGTATTTCCTGTAACCTTTCTTGGTATCCTTACATCATGTTAGTGACTACAGTAATATTTCGTAATCTGGTGTCTCTAAATCGTTATTTTCCTCTACTACTGAAGAAAGGCATTGATAAACCGCGTAGGGAACTAAAAGCTGTCAGTAGGGAGACTTGGGTGTCAACAAAGCTGTTCCATACGCTGAATCTCCTATCCATCATTTTAATGTAATTGGTTAATCAACCAAGAATTTAGAAAGACTGATTTATTCAAATTTGTAAATGAAGATGGTGAGTATTCACGACTCTGGAGTCTTAGTTAGCAAATACAACAACCAACTGTGAGACTGAATGAGTAAATGGTTGCATTCTTACTTTTTTGATAGGAAGCAGTGCACTATATGTAGAGTTAATTCCTCCAGTGTTCTACTTATTCTAGCCAGTGTTCCTTAATGGTGCTGACCTTTCTCCTTTTCTGTTCTCTTACTTCTTACATGACTAATCGCATACTGATGAAGCCAATTTAAGATATGATGGAGAAGATTTGTAGCTCGGGTGGATGATTTTGACGTGGTTGTGTTCTCTGAGCTGGATAGTTAATTTGTGAAGCTTTCATTGCTCTACCAGGCAAAATCTTCAGCGCATACTTCAGTTTGAAGCTTCGCAAATTAACTATCTAGCTCAGAGAACACAACCATATCAGAAGGCAATTTTGTTAAGTGTGCCGATGATCTAACTGCTCCCATGTAGACTACTTCCAAGTCAAATTGTTCTAAAATGAAAAACGTTCCATCAGAAGTTAGTCAGAGGTCCTTGTCAAATGGTCTTAGGCTAAATCTCTTCAATTGTCGAAATGTTAATCCCACTTTGAGATATAGGCGGGATTTATAAGAACTGGTTCGTTTCCATAATTCTCGTATCATAGATGGCATTGGAGTGGTAACTAAGTCGAATCTTAAATACCTTGGATCGTGTATTTCCTCTGATCTTCCCAGGCTTTCACATATCATGTTAGTGGCTAGGAAAATATTTCGTTTGACGTTCTACTTAAGAAAGTCAATACATTTAGGCATCACTCAGTCTGTTAACTATTTCCGACCCTATACTATGTAATATAAAACGAAAACTGGATGCCATGTTTTAATACACGCTGAAAATTCCACATGGTATTGTAATTGCTGTTTAGAATAAAACCATTATTCTAAAGGAATGATTACTGAACAAAGAATATTCACATTTTCGATAACCTGCTCTTTATCATCAGGTTCTACAGTTATGTATATACATTATAGTGATTAAATGAATTTGTGTAATTAACAACAGTAATGTTGTTGAAATAACATTGAATCAATAATAATAGTATCAATGTATTGCAATTCAATATCATCAACATAATAATAAACTGAATGTCAGGAAAATTAGGAAAGATAATAATACAAATTCATGAATTTATAGTCTCCACTCAAGGCCGGTCAAGGCAGTGGTAGGGGCTGGCTGGAATTGCCTTTTAAGCAAACAAAGCACTTGTTGCTCCATAAGAATCCAGATAGCCTCTGTTGTTGTGGGTATTCGGTGCCTGGATATTATTTGGTAACCTGCAGATGATAGAGAAGGATTCTTCAACGCCGACTGGCTTTGTTGCTGGTCGGTTTGGACCAAGTGGTCTAATATCAGATTGTTGATTGTTCTTATTTTTTTGTTTAGCCATACTGGTAAATTTTCCCAAGCGAACACCTAAAAATCAAGTTTTCAGAGCAACCGCCAATATAACTCGCTCCACCACAAGAGCAGTCGAATTGGTAGATAAAACAAGAAGTGGCTAGTCTAGGTGCTTCATGTTTCATTCGGGAAATCACCATCAGTCGTGTAGAAAATATGACTTGTGGTTTACCAGCATTAAAAGTTCTTTGAATAGACTTTCTTAACTTGTTATTAATTATTTCACTAGGTGCGTTACCCGTAAAATTGCAGTCTTCTTTATAAAGGCTTCTTATTTTTTTGATTATAGGCTGAAACTACACAGTATTTTTAGTACAAGTATGGAATTTTCAGCTTGTAATATCGGTAGGCCAAATTTTGCAGACCGACTACTGATATAGGGTGTGCATCGGTAGTGGATAGAACCACGGACCATGTGCATGGTAGACGATAGTCCTAACCGTTGTGCCACCGACGCACAGATGGAGAACAGTCGTTTTCTATTTTTTTGGTCATGCGTTTCTTGAAGACCTTTTCTGGATAGCTATTTTCAATTAGGGTGTCATATGCAATCCCTAGTTAATCTTCAGTTACATCTTCTGAAAACACAGCTATGACCCTGTAGCTGAGGGTCCTTATTAAATTTCTTTCGTACTTGACGGAAACAAAGCTATGGAAATGTGTATATTGTCGTATCCATGTGCTTTTCCTGTGCAAATTTCTCTTTATACTACCATCTAGTTTTATTGTGAGAAGGACACCTAGGAAGGCAATCAATTCTGTTTTGGGGTTCCTCTTCACAAGTGAATTTCATAGCTGAATGTACTTCATGAGTCATTATTGCGTTCCTATCCGAATCATTATCACAAAGAATAAAGGTGTCATCCATATAATTTCGTCAATGAAATGAGAAATTTCTGATAGGGTGGTTGTTCAAAGGTTAATTTTCTAGTTTACTTAGAAAGAAATCTGCCGAAATGGGACTCAATTGACACTATTGATTCGATATTATCTAAACAACTATTATGGATGGATATATAGCTGTGAAACCTGATGAAGAGCAGATTATCGAAAAGAATATTCTTTTGAAAATAATTTTAATGGGCACTTTTAATCAGTTAACACTATTATCATTATAATTTTAACTATCCCAACAAGAATTCTAGCACTTTCGTAGATTTCAGAGGGTAGTAATTTATGTGATAAAACAAAGTGAAATCAATGAAGGTTGCTCTCCAGAGTGTTAACTTACATATCTCGCATTTCTTTTTACCTGTGTTTTACAATGCAATACAATTTCAGTTTCATTTAAAAGGCAAGAAGATAAAGCAAAATCAATCAACAAGTTCTTATAAATGTTAAATTTTAAACCCTTGACCATCGAAGTTTAGCGACAACCCGAACTTCGTTCCGTTTCCTGCTGATAGTTATGCTCAACCAGTGGACAGCGTAAATTTGGGTAAATAGTACAAGCCATCACGTGATTAAAAGCTATTTCAGGAAGAGAAGAACCTCCTGGGAAAAGGCAACGTGGTATAAAATACAATTACGGATTATACATCATTGAAAGTGCATTTAAAAGATATATATAAAAAAGAGATGGAGACTCCTTGGATGAGAGTATACATTTGCAATGTTTAATGCTAACCATATATATTGGTCTTAGCATGGAAACTATGATGTTTTCGATGAAGATATAGCCTTGTTCAAACATTGGTGTCGTTGTGTTTTTAATCAAAGCAACCAGAATTTAAGCAAGCAACATATGTCATCAAAAAAGTGAGTTTAAGCTTTAATAAAGGCCTAGGTAGTTAAGATCAAATAGAGTATAGTAGTGCGTACATAATAAGATTATCGTGGGCTAGATGAGTGTTATTTCAGTGAGAGGTGAATTCAAAGACCTGGAGGATTAGAACCCGTAGGACAAGCTGACCTGTAAGCAGCCTCACAAATTTCTGTAGAACCTATGGCGTAGCATCTTGACAAGAAGCTGAACAGGCTTGTAGATGGTGGGAGTAAAAGCACTTTCTCATAAATGTCACAAACAAAGTGAAACAGTATTGTTTTTTGGATGGAAGAGTTTCGAACACAATTCATTATTGTTCATAATCATATCATCAATTATAATCATAGAACTTGGAAACTTCCGTTTTGTAGTTTTCTTTATTCTTTCCTATTTGTCGTAGTAGGGGTGGTAGAATTTTTCAGATGTCTCGGACAGATATCAGTAACGTCAGAAATGTCATCCAGCAAATAATACTATTTCACTATGTGATATATACATGTAATAAACGAATTAATATGGAATTATAAAGCAAGATAAATCAAAACAACACAATAAAACATCCTTATTCTTACATTGGTCGTCTGCAAAACGAAAACAAACAAATAAGCATTTTAGCTGATTTCAAGTGAGATATACATTTTCTGATTCTCGTCAAAACAACGTTAGTGTGAAAGTTCATTTTAGGCGTTGAAGTCCTCCGTCAATCACTGTCACCTTGGGAATTATATTCACAGTTTTGCTAGTCAAAGTAGGAGTTATCTGTCTTTTTTTTATTATAGCTTGATTGCACACAGTATTTTGCTACAAGTATGAAATTTTCAGCATGTGATATCGGTAGCCCAAATTTAGCAGGCCGACCATAGATATCAGGTGTGCGTCGGCGGGGAATCGAACCTCTGTCCATGCGCATGGTCGGCGAGATTCCTAACCGCTGTGCCACCGACGCACTGCATTAACAACCACTTGAGTAATCCTTTAGTATCTTCTGAATGAATTACACTTACTAAAAATGCAATGTAGTGCAGAATAACTTTGTATGCCTTCTTTTTAATGCAAATCCGGTCTGTCACATAAGATCACAACATCCTATAAGAGGTAAGCTTCATCTCAATAGCCCTGGGTCATAATTCCCTGCCACAAGTTTGCTTTGAAGAAAACAAAATGTGGATTTCCTGTAGGTTTAGAGGAGAAAAACGCCATTTTCAGGAATTCTACACTTGAATCCTCTAATCATGATCATAATGGAAGACAGAATGGAATGGTAGTCAAATCTCTACATCAGTTTCATGTGTGACCTTGAAAAGAACCTTGACAGAATCTGTCATGAAGTACTTTTGAAATTGTGCACCAAACTTTGTATTATCTTATGCCACATGTCAAATGATCCACAATCACTAATGATATTCCTCATTCAGGTGAACTACATTATACATAAGACCGTGTGTGTGCAGCGGGAAGTAGGGAATACATTACAATGACAGGAAGAATCTAGAAGGTAGGTTCGCCATGTGTGAATCATGTCTAATGTCAAAATATTTGGAGACATATAGGGGAAAACCAATCGGCTGACAGAAGAAGCCCCAAATACAGGATGTCAAGTGAACCTACAGAAGACAAAGGTGATGAAGATAAGCAACCAACTAACAAACCGACAAACCAACAACTACAAGCATCAGTCAATATCAACGAGAGGAATTCGAAAGTGATCACCTCCTCCAGATATCTAAGCTTCATCATTTAAATACTGGCAATTGACCCAATGGGTATGTCGAAACTAGAATGGGAAAGTCAAGACAAATTTTCCTCCCTCTGAAATTGTTCATTCAGGAAATCTCATTAATTCAGCACGCAGAATTAAATTCTCATTTTCAACACCATTCTTGAGTGAGTCCATCCCTATGTGTGAGCTTCACGAAGAGATTGTACAACAGGCGTCTGAATACTTTTATGAACAGCTGCTCCATTCACCTACTCCAATGTGAAGATCAGATTACCGACTGACTGGAAGGAATTATGAACAAGCAACTCCGCGAACGAATCAATCAATAACCCATTGTTCAATAAATAGTGTCTCACTATTTGATAATACATATCCATAAGTGTAAAATAACTCACCGAAAACATCCCATTCCCTGGCTAAATTATATTTAAAGTTTAGTAAAATATATAATTAGCATAATGTGATTGTGAATGAAAAATATTCTGGAAATGCGTCCATTCAAATGCAAATATTGAAGTGGTCATTTACCAATGAGAACTATTTGCATTCATGAAACTTATTAGCGCAAAAAGTGGATAACCAAATCAATCATCCAAAATAACCTTAATGAAAATTCAAAGAAGATCATAAGTGTTGATCTGCTTTCACGTCCACGATCAGATCAGTGTTAAATATCTCCTTCCATTTTTGCTGCTTTTAAGGAAATCCTAATATCATCGCCTTAATAATGTTAAACATCTATAGAAGTATTGGGTCAACTTGACAGCAAGCCAGCTTTGTTGGTATTAGATAGTTGGAGGCAATCGGGCAAAGGAAACCTTGCACCAACTGAGTATCGGGCTAGTTGGTAGTCATCAATCAGTCAGCAAGGAGTATCTGTCACCTCGTAGGGACTCATGTTCCTTCTGAGGATCGAATCTGTGTCATCCAGTGCTGCAGTCAGAGACGTTACCACTGAGTTATTCATGCTGACTCGCGGATGAACTCCTGTAGGAATGTATTGGATATATTTGATGAGACTAACTAGTAACTAGTGTCATGTGTCTAGTCCTATCAGCGGTAACGTCTTTGACTGCAGCCCCACTGGTTGACTGGTGAGTGCTAACTAGCAGGATACCTAGTTGGTGGAAGGCTTCTTGTGGCCAATTGCCTTCAACCATCTAATACTAACAATTCACAGTGCACCGTGATGGCGAGCCATCTAGTAGCATGGTGGCCACATTGCAAGCTTGACTGATAGAATTCAATCTGCACCAAAGATAGGACTGGACACATTATACTAGTTACTAACTAGTGTCCAATCAAAAATACCAAGTCAGCTTGTTGAACAGTTTTCGCACTATATATATTGAAAGCTTCTAGATATTCAACACCATTACTGATTGACTACAAACTATTGTTTCAAAAAATTGTATTATTGTGATTCCTTTAATGAACGTAGATCCACTTACCAGCATGTACGTAATCTGAAATTCAGTAGTTTGAAAAAAGATGTTAATTAATATTCTATGAGAAAACATTCAATTCACATTTCAAACAACTTCATAAATTTCAACAAAATAATTGAAATCGCTTTTTCATCAACAACAAAAGAAATACTTTGATGCTTTAAATGACTAGAAATTAGCGTTACATTCGTTGAACATTGGACGTTGAACATGGCAATCGATTATGTTTCTATCATACAACATAATTTGAATCCGGCGCCAGTGTATTTCAATGCTCAATAGCAGTGAGTACCAAACTATTTATCAAGGCTATAAGCCTTCTTAAAAATGTTATACAAAGTTTATGTCAACTTTATTTGTATTACGGTGTTAATTCATAAGTTCATTAGCTTTCAAGACACATTTAGATTGTTCAGCTGAATAATCCCTTTGTAAATGTGCACTGAAATAACCCAGAATTGAAAGTTTTTTCAAATAAACCAAAGTACAAATGACTGAACAGTTCAAATTCCCGAAATGTTCAGTTAATTTCGTATTTTCAGTAGACTTTTGTTTAACTAAATCATTTCACATCTTGTCCCTACATTACTAGATTAGTCTAGTAATACACTCTGATGATAAGAACTAAGCGAAAGTTCTTGAATATTTCCATTGTACTACAACATTTTACAAGCTTTGGAGTGCTCTAAACGAAAATTCCTTCAAATTGATTACTCATATCACCGAAATTATAACGAAACGATTATACTGTAGTGTACGTTGAACCTTTGAATTTTTGTTTTAATGCATTCACTCAATTTTGGCGCCACAGCATCTTTTGCTTTCCGACGTGACTGTAAACATGTGGTTCGCTCTCTTAGTGTGCTATCTATCATTGAACACACTCTTCGAGCTTACTACCCAGTCGAGGCATCAGATAAGTTGTGTAGCACCCTTATTTATAAAAAGTGACATTTCATTTGTGAAAAAATGCAACTCCCTTTAAGGCACACTTCCAGTCTCAAGTCTTTCTACCTTGATTTCGTTAGCCAGTACTTACAGGTTAGGTGAAGTATTTAGTAAGTGCGGTTATCTGAGGTCTGTCTTAAGTATTACCCAACACTTACAATATTCCGACTACAGGAGTCCAAGTCGCTTACTGTAGTAAAGTTTTCCTCTTAACAGACGTAAATGTAAGAAGGGAATGAGCATCCTAGATCCTCCTTGTTGACTAATACCAACTAAAATAGCATCTCTCATACCTAATATAAACAGAAAATGAGGATTGATACTCAAAATAGTGTATTAAATAAAATCTTAGATGTAATTTTTGATATTTATGAGAGAAAATAAAAAGGAATACGCATTCATTACCATAGGCCTGCAGAAAGAGAATGACAACCAGCGAGTTGAACATCATCATTCTTATTCGTTGTTCAAGTGCTTCCAGAAGAAAAGTGAGAACAGTCTGAACTCTATCTCTCTCTGATTTACAACACGACTGTCTCTGGTTGTATATATATACCTTTTTCTAGTAAATAACACATGGTAAAAACAATCCATCATGTGTTTTTCTTGTGAGACAGGGGGAACAAACTGAGACGAAGATAACTGATTACTTGGCTGATTTATCAGTAAACACGCCACTGTCATTTCATAAGTTTACTCAGACTAATTTGTTTCATAGAACGTCTGTATTCTTTGATTACTGTTCATTAGTAGTCATGTGAGGTGAGCAACTCTAATCAGTCAAAATAGTCGAGACTTTGTGCGAAAATAATAGTGACTAAATTTTTAAAACAAAACATGTTTTGAACATTGAACAAAGCCAAATATTTGAATAGAAAGCGATACATCGTCTACGTACATACTAATCTGAGCAGTGTTATTGCTTTCGCAAGTCTAATAATTAATTTGAGAAAATGTCATACACAGCGAGAATGATTTCATTATTTAGAAAACAATGCAATATTTATAGAAGTATTCTATTTATAGAAGTGTTGGGAATCTGCGCGAGCATATGGAACGGATGTGGAAGGAGTCAACTACCAACTGGAGAGACAATTTTCTACTCCGGTCGCCCAGAGGACAATCATGAGCATACCGAGGGAGTGGCCATCATGATGTTACTAACAGCAGCCAAAGCTCTCATGCAGTGGGAACCAATCTCCTCCAGGATAATGACAGCCAGGTTCAACTCAAAAGGAAGGAAGGTTACAATCATTCAAAGTCATGTGCCTACACACGTCTCAGAACAAGAGAAGAAAGACGATTTCTACAGTCAACTACAAACAGTAATGGACAACGTCCCAAATGGCGATATCAAAATCCTGATGGGTGATATGAATGCGAAGCTGCGAGGAGACAATACAGGAAGAGAATTCACCATGGGTCGCGAGACCTTCGGTGAAATAAACGACAATGGTGAACTCTTCTCAGACTTCTGCGCCTTCAATGATTTGGTGATTGGTGGCAGTGTGTTCAAACACAGGGATATACACAAGGCAACATGGATTTCCATAGATGGACACACAAAATCCAGGCAGACTTCATTTCAATCTCAAGGAAGTGGAGACGGAGCCTACTGGACACAAGATCGAGGAGAGGAGCAGATGTGGGTTCAGACCACTATCTAGTACAAGGGACTTTCAAGGTGAAGCTGAAAGCTTCGAGGATAGCTGGGGATAGGCCACAATGCAAGTTCAACACGCAAAAACTGAAGGACACAATCACACAGGACATTTTCACTGCAACTGTCAGAGCAAAACAGGAAACACTACGTGGCACCACTGAGGAATCATCCGTGGAAGACCATTGGAACTCTCTGAAGGTGATTTTCAACGAAACGTGTTCAACGGTCGTAGGAAGAAAGAAGAAACAAGACAAGGAATGGCTCTCAACGGATACTTGGAAGCTAATAGGAGAAAGACGAATGGTGAATGAGAAAATGACTCAATGCAAAGACGGACAAGAGAAAGAGACTCTGAGTTCAACTTACACAGCACTGGACAAAGAAGTGAAGAAGAGTGCCAGGAAGGACAAAAGACAATTCTACGACAACCTGGTCAGTGAAGCTGAGAAGGCAGCAGGCAAAAGGGTCCTTAGGATACTATGTCAGATAACCAAGTCTGTATCCGGGAAGAGATCAACACAAGTGAAACCTATAAAAGACAGCCAAGGGAACCCAATTACCAAGGAATAAAGACAGATTAAACAATGGGCGAACCACTTCAAAGGACTCTTAAACAGACCACCACCTGCAACCCGTGCAGAGATACCAACAACAGCACGTACACAACTGCAAGTTGACACCAATCCTCCAAAGAAAGCTGAAGTCTTGAATGCAATCAAGCTTCTGAAAGCTGGAAAAGCAGCTGGACCAGATGGAATACCCCCGGAAGCACTGAAAGCGGACCCAGAGACGACAGCAGATATGCTAACTCAATTATTGCAAAAGGTCTGGAAGGAGGAAAAGGTGCCTACTGACTGGAGGAAAGGTTCCCTCATGAAACTACCAAAGAAGGGTGACTGCAAACTCTGCAAGAACTGGCGTGCAATCATGCTCCTGTCGATCCCAAGTGAAATTCTAATTGGTATCATCCTGGAGAGAATGAAGAACGCAGTGGATACAGACCTCCGACCAGAACAAGCTGCATTCAGGAAAGGCAAATCATGTTCTGACCAAACTGCAACTCTACGCATCACCATCGAACAAAGCATGGAATAGCAATCAAATCTCCACCTCAACTTTATAGACTTTGAGAAGGCCTCCGACAGCGTTGACCGCGAAGTAATTTGGAAACTACTCGAGTACTGTGGCGTACCCCAAATATTCATCAACCTTATTCAACAGCTGTACGACAACGGCACATGTCAAGTGATCCACAACGGAAAACTCAGCGAGGCTTTTTGAGTAAACACAGGAGTCAGACAAGGGTGCTTATTATCACTAATGATATTCCTAATTGTGGTGGACTGGATTATGCGTCAGACAGTGGGAAACGAGAAGACAGGGATATCTTGGATCGAAATGAAGAGCCTAGAAGACCTGGATTTCGCACGTGGATGATTTATGTTTGATGTCACACAAGATCGAAGAATTACAAGCGAAAACCGACAAACTGGTCGAAGAAGCAGTAAAGACAGGACTCCAGGTGAAAATGATGATGAAAATAACAGACAACAACAACAGCAGCACAGATGTCCAGCGCCAATCACCATCAACGGGAGGGATTTGAAAGAGGTTACTTCTTTCACTTATCTAGGGAGAATCGTCTCAACTACAGGAGGAACGGACAAGGATGTCAAATCTAGAATCGGGAAGGCGAGAAACACATTCATCAACCTGAAACCAATCTGGAAATCTTCGTCACTCAGCATCAACAACAAACTGATTCGGATTTTCAATACAAACGTCAAGTCAGTCAGTTCTTCTATACGGATCAGAAACTTGGTGTGTCACAAAGAATATTTCCAACAGCCTGTTCCAGACCTTTATCAACAACTGTCTCCGTTCTATACTGAAGATCAGATGGCCGGAAAGAATCACAAGAAACAAGAAACTATGGGAAGAAACAAAACAAGAACCAATCGCTCAACAAATATGCAGAAGATAGTGTAGATGGATTGGACACTCACTGAGGAGGCTGTTGGGTGACATCGCGCGTCAGGCCAGTGCTCGAGTGGAGCCCGAAAGGGAAACGGCGAGTGGTTTGTCAGTGCAAGGGTGACATGGAGGAGATCGTGTGATGACTAGCTGAAACAGTATGGACTAACATGGATGCAAGTGAAAAGTACAGCAGAATACAGAAGCAAGTGGAGGCGTGCAGTTGAAGCCCCATGTTCCGCTAGGAACTTAAGGGAACAATAATACAATAATAATATTTATGTGCAAATAGATAAAGTTCTTATGGAAGCCATCGGTTCATAGTTCGACTCTCAGTAGGGGTAATATTACTCGCTGTGGGAATGCAGTTACACCGCTAAGCGGCAATTCACAAATAGGGACGAAATATGCGCGTTCCGCCTAGCGCGCTGCTGGTCGCCGTCAATATAAAGAACCTCCTTACCAGCTTCCAACTGATGTCAATCTTGAGGATGATTAAAACTCTGTGTGAACTTCGTTGTAACAAGTTATTCACTTACAACAGGGAAAAGAAGAGGGATGACACAGTTAACTAACATTTAATCTGAATAGGCGGTAATGCATCCACAGAGTTTTGTTTTAATATTATTTCAGTGAAATGCATGGTGTTGAGTTTCAGGGATACAGGAACATCCCTCCTGGACAATTAATGACATCCATTCCTGTAGGCCGTGTATCACCTTATGACTTAATCCTTATTATTTCTCTTTATTCTTGTTAGCGTCCTAATTAAGATGATTACCATTGTGGTTGTGTGACTGTGTTGATAGTATCTCGTTCTGGATTGTGATTTTGTTTGACTGAAATCAAGTCCGGTGGTGGGGATTTTGACTTCACACTACCTGTGGGATTTGTTTAGTGTGTGATAGTTCCTGATAGAGTTTTGATCCAATCATCTTGGGAATATTCTTCTTCATTCTCAGATACTTTTCACGGCGGATTTCTGTCGAATAAATTTTTGGTAAGGTACTTCCTTTTTAACTGAGAATCAACTGAATTTATACAGTTGCCTAACGAGACTATTTATAGTTATGATTGTTTCCTTTACTTCCCAGAGGAACTTAGGGATTCAGCCGCACGTCTCCAATGTGTTCGGATTTCCACCAGAGTTTTCACCTGGTTCCAAGTCTTCCCACATGCTTTCATCAACACTTCACAACACCTACTCCTCCACGTCACACTCACACTAAAAATCAACTAGCCGCTTCACATCCTGGTTCACTTCGACCGATGATCTGGCGTCTGATATGAACTGACAATATCCTCAGAGTATGGCCAATCAACCTATGCACGTGTATTCTGTTCTCTGTCATCGCTTTAATCCTCCCACTCTACAACCACTTAGAATCTTTCAGTGATTTATTCCATGTCACCTCCAGATGGATGTCAAACCCTTCATAAGGTTTTAATCCTAGGCACGGCCTGGAGTGTTATTCCATCAAACGCTCAACTCAGTTTATGTTATTCCCATCTGGATTGCATTTGGCACATCTATTAAAAGGTTTAATCGAAGATTATTGGTTCATTTCCTTGTGATTTCTGTCAGACCATCAGTTTATCAATATGGAACGAAGTATCCGAAAAAAATTTCATTGTCCCCTGAGAATTGTGAAGATATAGACGAATTATTCTTACTCAATCTTGTGCCCTCTTTAGAAAGTTTTAATGATCCCAAACAGTTTTCTCATAGGCGAGAAAGAAGTACTTTAGGTGTTGTCACTGTACCACATCATAACACTGTGTCCTCATTAGTAAATAGGGGGCAGATGTGTACCTTGTACTCGCCTTGACTACACACCAGATTCCGATTCAGTACCTTGATGCCTTACACATACTGAGTCCT